CGATCCAGCCTGTCCAGGTCCCTCTGCAGAGCCTTCCTACCCTCGAGCAGATCAACACTCCCGCCCAACTTGGTGTCGTCTGCAAACTTACTGAGGGTGCACTCAATCCCCTCATCCAGATCATCGATAAAGATATCGAACAAGATCGGCCCCAAAACTGAGCCCTGGGGAACACCGCTCGTGACCGGCCGCCAACTGGATTGAACTCCATTCACCAATGTTAGTATCAATGTTAGAAATGTTAGTATCTCTCCTTTCAGACACTTAAGGACCATTTTAAAATAAGCTATAACTATTTTTATATCTATCTGTCTATATATAGATAGGTAGATAGATAAAATTCCTAGAACCTCTCCTCCTAAATCTATTTTCCTTTTGCGCTACAGGGTTTGTTTGTTTTCCCTGGCATTACAGAGAGACCTTGACCGACAGATAATTCTGCCACAGCTAATTTATTGCACAAGACCGTCCATTGCTCTTGAATTACGGAAAACTCAAAGCCTGTTACAAGAAGCAGCACTGCTTAGGCACAGCCTTCAGGAAACACAGAAAAATCTCGTGATCTCCTTACAGATACATTTTTCTTTCATGGACTCTATTTCTTCCCGTCTCAGAGGAGCACCTCCAGCGGCAAATACATGGCATTAAGGGGTGCAGCACCGAGGGATGCAGTTCCATTTAGCTTGGTAAGTCATTTAAAAGAGAGGAAGAGGTGCACCCAGGATTTTTGGATCCTACCCAGCAAATCCATCCCGGAGCACGCCTGGGGACTCCTCTATGAGCCTGCCTTACTAGCAAGCATTGAAGGAAGAAAGTTCCCAAGCTCCATCACTTTATTTCACCTTGAATCTCTTTGCTCTGGTTCCAATATAGGACTAAGGCTCTTTGACACAACGGGAAACAAACAAACAGCAGCAAAGCGATAATTACAGCTAGAGCGATAGCTAGTTTCACGGTGTCAAAATAGTTTAACTTTAAAAGTGTTGAAACAGGTTTTTTTCCTGAATTTCTTAGGGGGGGGGAGTGTGTTGGAAATATTTCACCTGAAATGCATTTCATGATTTCAGTACCATTTCCATGACGCATGCCTGCCTTTGGTGGTTACGACTTACATACTTCCCATTCTTTTGTGTTGGAGGGGTAAGCCTCTACCCTACTTGGCAAATTCAAACCTACTGATAGCGGGATTTCTTTTTCTAGTTACGCTTTGCAGACACTTCTGAAGTTGTCCACAGATGCCCTGGGGTCCCTAGAACAGCGGTTTTAACAACTACTCCAATTTATTTATAATTAAAAAAAAATAAAAGCCCAATGTATTTCACAAACACAAGTAACAGTTTTATATCTATTTATACTATTAAACTGAAGTTACCATCCCACCTAACATTACAAAGCAAAATAATTTTTCTTTGATCCTCCTCATCCCAGATTTGCACGGTGCCTCCCCGGGACACACATGCAAAGCCAAGCAAGGAGAACACTACTGATAGTAAATCAAGCTTGCACAGATCCCATTTGGTTGATCATTAAGAAATTATGCTCTAAAACGCAACTCAGACATTCAAAAATGAATGACCAAGCAATCTAATTATGGAAGATATTTCTCAGTCATGTCAGCACTATGTGGTCTTGGCTTGTGATCAAGAATTAGCTCTGTCTGGAGTTGAGGAGCTCCGGCTACTCAGTGCTAATCATAGAAGGATGCACTGTGTTATCCAGTGTTAAAAAACAGAAAGTTTAGGGCTGTGGACTGCTTTCCTTGCAGTTTTCTTACGCCACAGTGGGAGATACCAATGGAAAGTCACTGGAAGACACTGTGGCCCCTGTTTTCCCACAGGGAGGGCTGTCCTTAGCACCTTCGCATCCCTAAGAACATATCCTCACTTGAGCAAAGCAACAGGCACTGACATGGTTTGCGAGGACTCTCATGTCTAGCCTTTGTTTTAAATCAGCTAGCAGAGCTGATCCATTCAGCATCCATCCACAGGACTCATCCCATGCCTGAGTTTGCAGGGAGAGCAACACAACATCCCAGCATCCCATCGTCTGCTCAGGTGATGGATCCCTCACATGCCCCTCCGGTGAGTGGCTGCGGTATTGGGAACTGCTTACACCTCCAAAGACAGACCCCAAAGCACAGCACCATCAGACAACAGCTTCAAAACACAACAGTGCTACAACCACGGCACGCAGAGGAATGAAAACGAAGGCTGGAAAGCAGCCGCTGCCAGTGGTCTACATGAGATGGACCAGTTATGCACATGCAAAACACCGACCTAGAGCCAAGACCAAACACAATGCTCTTCGTCTTTCCAACTGGCAGTGAACTCCTCTAAGGAAAAGGAGTGAAAACTATGAGTATTTAGGCCCACTTAAACAGAGATCTAATGTTTATGTATATTATGTAAAGAACACTCATGGTGTGTGCTCACTGTCAAGGACACATTCGGCAATAATTATTTCCCAAGTTAAAAATCATCAAACAATGCCCATACAAGGCAACTCTTCATCTACTGTTGAGTGCTAAAGACTCGGCAGCTTTTGTAATTTATCACCATGTGAGCACAGCAAAAATATAACTCTGCCACAGCTTCCTTTCAAGTTAGGCTTTTTATTGAATTGTTTGGCAGGGTGTGCAATCATCACG